TCTTTCCCTCCCTTTCACAGTGTCACTCAGCACTTATGGTGAGTCTTTCCACCTCCTCCTTAATCACTGTTACATTCTGCCTCCGCTGCAGTGACAATACAAATACCAACTTCTAGCGATGATTCAGGAATCTTTTCTTCTTCCACATCATTTCACTGCTAAGTACTGTTTAACATACAAAACCTATATCTGAAGTCCAACAGCTTTTGACCTTTATTCCTGTCTCTACCACTGTATCAGGTGAGTTTCATCCCTTTTGCTACCAGTTAAACAATATGCAGATACACACACTTCTTCATTGTACAGAAGAATTAGTAACTGTTGTCATACTGCTTTCTGTAAGTAAAAAGCTCTGTACATGTTTTCTCTGTTGCTGTCAATATAAACGAGTGTCATATGGGCAGGAAAACACAGAAGGAGGGAACACAAAAGGACAGGGATTCTTACGGGACAGGAACTCCTGATCCAAAAGACAGAAGTAAGGGAGGAAAGCAAATGAATCAAAGTGAGATGCACAATGAGGCTATTCAGTAATTTTTAATATGCTAATTAATTAGGAGACATTTTCTTGTATTTATTGGCTACGCTTACGAGGTCAACCTTGGTGCATTTCTTGGCTTGAAACCCAAATTTACTGCTTTCAAAGCAATTAAAAAACACACTTGGAACTAGGAACAGTTGAAGCAGCAGGGTCTAGACTCACTATGATTTTAAGAAAAATGGGGGGGGGGGGGGGGGGGTGTGTTAGAAAATCAAAAGGAGAAGCAGGTACATGTTTAACGTAGGTTCAGGCTTCTCTCTACAAATGCCTCTAGGCCAGGCAGTAAGCAGGCAAAAACATCCCCACCACCAACTGCCTGATCAGTACCGAGAAGGTCAGAATAAGGAAGGAAGAAAGGAAATGCAGGGCATAAGGAAGGGGAAAAGCAGCATGCATAAGGTTCATAGCTTCAAGAGGGAAGAGGCTGTTTCAAGAGAGACCTGACATAAGAGATAAGAATTGCAAAAAGAAAAGACCTTAGTCAAATGCAGAGCAGCACTGAGGAGCCCTGCAGAAGCTGTAAGGAGCACGACTCCCTTCTCCCCAGCTAGTTGTACTATTGTACACGCAGCAGTTTTCAGCTAGATACCAGCATCCTGGATGACGTACACACCAGAACAAAACCAGCTTGCTGGGGATGCTTGTGACGCTGAAGAGGAGAACTAGACAGATCAGGGTGTTCCAGAAACAAGATAACACAGTAAGTATCAGCATTGGTTGTAATTTCTTGCAAGCATCATAGCAGAGAAATGTTTTAAAGCAGCAAGCAGAACAATTTTGTCTTTCCAAGGAAAAGCCACTAACCGTGTGGCAGCCCTGGATGAAGTTTTAAGGGTTGTCACAGAATTAAGAGAAAGAAACCACAGTCTTGGGTTCAATAAATAGAAGTCAACCTCACTGCATTTCCAAAAGCTCACAGACAAGGCAGTGGCACATCTGCTTGGTTTTGACACTGCGGAAGAGCAGGTTGGCCGAGGACTGAGAGCCAGCAGCAGGCTGGAAAAGGAGTAATGCAATTAAGGCAGTGGGCAAAACAGGTGTATGCAACAGCTGTGCAAGGCATTTATCAAAGCCAAAAGTGAAGCTGCTTCTGTAATGGATGCCAGGAATTCAGGGCACCTGGACTGAGAATTTTAGCTGTGGGTATGGAGAGGACAAGCAATGTTTTGAGACAGTCGAGCATTGACTGTATCAAGTAAGAAGCTTATTTGATTAAGGCAACTATTTTGGCAATTCCAGCATGCTCAGTTCTGGTAGTCTGAACAGTAAAAAAAAAATACCTGCCTACAAAGGCAGTACTGCAGGTTTCTGTGACCGAGGCCAAAGGGACAACAAACACCAAGAACAGCACGAAAGGGTAGGTGTGAGGCAATGAGAAGTATCCACTAGTAGCCAAAGGATGTCAAGGCATTTGAGGTACACAGTTGGCTGGCCTCAGGAGGCAGCCATCTGTTTTTAATAGCTTCCATGCCAAGTGACAAGTCATAGGGGAACATTAGTTATGTTCCTGAAATGTCATGTTCATGGGGAAACCTGAAGTCTACTTCCGAGTCATAAACTGTGTTTGGAAAACTAGGGGTAGAAATGTTGCACACAGCTCATTTATGTGAGGAAATGTATCTATCAGCACAGAAACACAAAAGGCCACTTGCACATAGCAGCAAAATCCTTATCATGCTAACACCCAGCAAGTTTCTCCTGCACATTTCAGCTCTCAACTCTATAATTTCAGACTGCAGAAACTTCAAATCTCTGTGCAGGTTGGTTGCACTTCCCCTGCTGTATGTTGCTCACTATTTCTCCAACTCCTGCATTTAAAGAGCCAATTTCACTCTATATACCCTGCCAAACTTAGGACCACTGAAAACAGTCATTAAAGACCATCCAGTATAAATACTGATCAATGGAAACACAGGTTTAAAGACTGCGTCCTCTAATCTGCACTAATAGTAAGTGTCTGACAAACTCAGAAGCTTATTATGTATGCTCTGTAAAAGTAATAACCAGCCTCAGATCCGTTACCTTTGACCAGTAATCACAGTCATCAACTGCAATAGCAAAAAACCCCATGATTGCTCTTGACTCTTTAGTCAACCTCCCCTTTTACTTGAAAAGGTATTTCCTCTATTAGTCAAGGGAGAATTATCTGAGACACCCCTACAGAAAGGCAGCTGGCCATAAGACGTAAGTACGAGTATGTATCTGCAACTAGGCAATTCAATCGCCCCATAGGCATCCTCATAGATTTTTGAACAAGATTGCCTGCTGTCTTTTATCAGTAGAGCAGTTTTGGAGTACCATAGGATGACACAGAGCAAGAAAACCAGCTGAAAGGGTGTTTGTACAGGAAGGTATGGAATGCCTGAGGAAAGGATACAGTAAATCATCAAGTCTAGAACATGGTTTCCTCACAGAAAACAAGTTATGGACTTAGGGAGAATATGCAACTGAAGATGTGTTCCAGAAGGCAGACTGCATGTGGGTGTCAGACACAGGGTAACACACTTCTGCCATTAGCTCTGTGCAGTTTTAAAGAAATCATTCCTGTGCCTCAATTTCCTTATTAGAATGGGTCAGAAGCCTTTTTTTTGTTATTCTTTATTTCCTTATAATCTATGGTAAAGGAGATTATTTTGAGAAAATTTAGGTAGTTCTTTCAAAACTGAACACGAGTAGGTATTTCTTCAGTGAAATTTTGACTTTAACTATAACCTCTCCCAGTATTATAGTCAATCCAGTAATTCACAGCCTTCTGTTAACATCAACCAGATGGAGCTTGTCAGTATTGCTTCTCTCTCCTTTATTCTGTTTTTTCAGCAATT